CTAATATTGAACAATTCCTGACAAAGACAGATCAAATACACAGTTTAGTGGCCAAACCTCCTCGTCGAAGCCTGATCTGAGCCTGTGGCAAAAAAACCACACTTCACCCACTTTTTTTAGAACAAATATGGTGCGTGTGAGTGTAAGTGTTGCTGGTTGGAGGAGCTGATGGCGCAGATTGGCAGCTTCACTTTCCTCAGTCTGTCCCAGGGCACCACCAAAGCTGAATCCCATTACACCCCTTGGCCATACCCCCTTCTGTTTTGTGTTTTCACATGTAGGGGTAGGAGCGTTCCAGTTACCGTTATGGCAGAGGGGTAGGGGAAAGTGGTAGGACTATATACTCCTCCAAACGAAGATTTTTCAGAGGCACACTCCAAACAGAGAGGTGTGAGCAAGATCGCTGCTACCACGACCACAGAGACCAAAGAAGTTCACAAATTGGATGGATTTCTGACCAAAGAGACTATTTTGCCACTATTTTAGAGACTATTGATGACGTATGTGATTGCTTAATTCGTAAGGGTTTACATTCAACCCCTACCCCTTGTTGCTCAGTTTCAAGGGGCAAAAATTAGAAATGGGATTGGCCCCAAGTGTGAAGAGAATGAATAAAACACAGAAACATAAAGTGATGCGTTTGAGCGTCTGGAAAAGCCCCAATACGAGACTAATTATTCTCCGACGTGAGAGACAGAGCCAAAGTACATCTCCTGGTACTCTTTAAAAATCCTGTTGGGCTTTTAAATAATATTTCAAATCAGGACTCCAAACGCTGAATGCAAAGCACAGACTGATTTCATGCACACAAAACCTTTCACATTTCTGCCCTGCAAAGGCAGAAGACCTTAACGCGCCAGAGTGTGAAACTGAGAAAAATGACTTCAGAGTTTCTGTTTTGTCCAGACAAAAGTAAGGTAGGGCTCCCAAAATTTGACACTAGTTGCTATAATGAAGAAGTATTTGTATGTGAAAAAGATTGAGCTCAAAATGGAACTTTGACCATTATTTTGGGGAGTTACTGTACTCATGAGGTTAAAATAAGGAGTCGTGCAAAGGTAAAAAGCAGTAACAGACATAATCATTATTTGCTTGACTTTCACCAGACTTCCATCCATTATAAGAACCTCACCAAGCTCTAGTCCTCATGGAGTTTGTTTGAAATGATATAGAAGAAGTTTGGATTTCCGGTTTAGTGCTGATCAGGATCAGGATCGTGAGGCGACACTTACACAGTTAAACAGTTTGACGAACAAGTTACTTTGTAGTATAGTATGTACAATATGAATAAATACTCGGACCGGGCATGTTAACTAATTAATTTTATGTTAACTAATTAATTCATTATCGTCAACAATTATTTTTCTCCATTTAATGCAGTTTTTATTTATTTATTTATTTTTTGTAATTATAAATGTCCGTCGCTCACTGGCTTTTATTTTGAGAAAGTTCACCGCGAGGAAACCCAGAATGTTGCTTACTGCTGCGGCGCTCACAGGAAACAGAGAGAAAGAAAGCGGGATAAACAAACATGGAGAAAGGTAAGGAACTTTTACATGGCCATTTTCATTTTAAAGCATTTGTAACACTGCAACAATGAATTGTCCTGTCACCAGGGTTTCACGAGTCTGAAATGTTACCTAAATGTAACACACTCTGCTGATGCCGGCAAATCGTTCAATGAAACAAGTGGAGCGAGGCTTCGGCCGACCACAGGAGATACAACATGTCATCGCCATCGCTCCTTACACGCACACGCATCACGCACACGCATCACACACACGCATCACACACACGCATCACATGCATGCATGTGTGCATGCATGCATGCTGCACACAGCATGCACACAGCATGCATGTGTGATGCCCTGCACACAGCACGTAGGGCACCAAGAGCTTGTGGGGGCAACCACCGTGCGGTCGATCTCTCTGTCGCAACCTCCCACCCCCGATCTCACTTTTCCTCCCCGAGAAGCCAGTACCAGCAATCGCATTCTCATAATAATTAATAAAATAATAATAATCTTGCATGCCTTAGAAACTTGCTTTGTTCAGAAAAGTAAAAAAAAAAAAGTTCTAGGAATTGACAAACTGCACTCAAAGTGTTTTCTGGTGACTGTTTTTGACTGAGATTCTCATTTTTATATCAAACAGGAAACATTAATTCCCGGGCAGTAGCAATACATTTCAGTTTTGTATTTGGTTTGATTTGATTTTTTCAGTTGACGTTTACACTGAATACTTTATTTTACTGCTGCTGATCACATGCACTTTACTTTTGAATTCAATTCATTAAGTCAAATTGACAAACTGCACTGAAATTGATTCTTTTTTTGAGTAAGATTCTCTAAAGGAAGAAGTATAAACATGGACTTTACAGACTAGTGCCCTGCTCCTGTATAAAGAAATGCACAACAGATTTATGGCACTTTCGTTTACATTTCCAATAAAAGTGCACTATATGCTGCTTTTGAATTGAATTCATTCATTGTCTTTGAGTATAACATGAGATTAATCATGATTAATCACAGGAACTCGTGCGATTAATGCAATTAATATTTTTTATTTTTGCCCAACCCTAATAAATACACAAAATACGTTCACATTAAAGATAATTTAAGTATATTTGAACACAAAAGTATATTTATTGAATGTGTTAAGACCCTGTGCCAAGGCCTCAACAAAAACAAAGAGGCGAGAGGTTCGATTTTAGAATAAAATATTTTGCCTTTGCACGACTCCTTATTTTTGGCTCATGACACAAAGACAGAGAACAGGAACTGACAAATAAGTAGCCACATTTTTTCCACGATATTTATTCACATGATAAAGGAGGATCTCAAATACCCCCAAAATGACATTAACTCATTTTTGACCAAACTTGATGTTACTGCGTTCTGCCTTTGTAGGGCAGAGTAAACCCCTGAACATTTCCTGCGACCTCTGCCGGCAAAATGCAGCACAGTCTGAAAAGTACAGTGAATTCTATTTGATATTACAGTGCCCAAACTGCATTCACCTTAACTACATAACACATCTATAACATTAAACATCATTTGCACCCACGCGGTCGTATAGTTTGGCTGTGAACCTGTTCCATTAGCTGTGAGTCATGTGAGATTTCTCCTGTTTTCAGATGCGCGCGGCCTATTGTGTTTCTACATCTACACCTACTCAAGCCACTGTCCCTGCCGTGCGTTATACAGTGTAGTAATGACCTCCTGCACGGGGGAATATGAAAACATCTCTTTTCCCAAATTGTCTCTGGATACGGTTGCCATGGGAACTGTCACTGATGTTCCTCATTTGTCTTTTTCCGTCAAATAAAATGGTGAAATGTGTTATTATGTTGTTGTTGTTTTTTTGTGCGGTTTAACAAGGCAGTCGTTTTATTTAGTTAAAATCTCCATCTTGTGAACACTGAAATGACGGATAGGCAGGCGTGTTTATTCTCTGCTGTTATTATTATTATTGGTGGTAACGAGACAAAAAGGGATGACTGTGCTACAAGAAATAAGCAGCATTTTAAAACCCTAATCTTAAAGGTCCTACATTACACAGAATTTACTCTAGTAAGCTTTCAGTATGCAGAAACAACATTATAACATCAGAAAACAGTGTAATATGTGCCTTTTCAAATGTAAGGAAACCAGTGAAGTGAAAGTATTAGGCCATATAAAAAGATGAAACTGAAGCCTATTACAGGGTAGGCCTATACATAAAAGCATAAAGCCTACTGCAGCTTTGTAAGTACTTCAATATTGAAGTACTGCTCGAAAGACTAAGCAGTAGACCTATGGAGGACTTGTGTTAAGGAGGATTTTTGGATGACTTTTCTTCATATAGTTATGGAAAAATAGAAAGAGCAGATTACAGAAAAAGTGTACTCAAGTGAAAGTGAACGTACATGATTAAAAATACTACATAAATTAGGCCGACTAGTTTTTATACAATTTTAGTAGGAATGCAATTTCGACTGGCACTCCTGTATTTCATCCATCCATCCATTTTCTTCCGCTTATCCGGGGCTGGGTCACGGGGGGCAGCAGTCTAAGCAGGGACTCCCAGACTTCCTTCACCCTGGACACTTCCTCCGGCTCCTCCGGGAGGACCCTGAGGCTTTCCCAGGCCAGCCCAAGAGACATAGTCCCTCCAGCGTCCAGGCGCCCAGGAGGCATCCGGAACAGCCACCTCAACCGGCTCCTCTCAACGTGAAGGAACAGCGTCTCTACTCTGAGCTCCTCCTGTTTGCCTGAGCTCCTCACCCTATCTCGAAGGGAGCATCCAACCACCCTGCAGCGGAAACTCAATTCGGCTGCTTGTCTTCGCAATCTTGTCCTTTCGGTCATTACCCAGAGCTCATGACCAGAGCTGAAAGCAGGAATGTAGATTGAGCAGTAAATCGAGAGCTTTGCCTTTCAGCTCAGCTCCCTCTTCACCACAACGGTCCGATACAGCGACCGCGTCACTGCCGACGCTGCACCGATCTGCGATGTGATTTTAATGTATTTCTTATTCTGTAAAGCACTTTGAATTACTTTGTGTATGAATTGTTCTATGATAATAAACTTACTTTGCCTTTCTATTATTTTAAATGTAGCTACAATTACATGGCTAAATTGTACTCAAGTTATACCCCTGCAAGTAGTACATCTTTAAAAAATACTTGTATATAAAGAACACCCACGTACTTAATCACAGTAAAGTGATTAGACTTTTTGTAAAACCTTAGTGATGGTCATTTAGAAGCTCCCACAGTTATTGAAATAGCCTAAAAAGAAGAAATAAAGCATTTCAGTTTCGACTTGACAGTTTTACGTGGGCTTGTATATGCGCATACCATGTTTCCCCGTAGGTCACCAGTGGGTTTTGCTGTTTTATCACCCCTCCAGCCGCTTTCATGTCCGTTAGAGGGCGTCATTGCGCACTCGACCAGTCTTCGCTCCGGAGAGGGAGGGGGCGGTGCAGAGTGAGCGAGCCCGGGCTGAGAGCTTCTGAGGCGGCCACAGAGGCACAGAGCTCGCTGCCTCGCACTCGGAGCAGAGCTGTGGAGCGGAGAGGCTGCCCCATGCCGCCGGCCTTCACTGGGATTTATAACGCCTTCTGACGCGCCTGTCGCTTCTGGAGCTCGGACTAAAAAAAAAAAAAAAAGAAAAGAAAATAAAGGACACGACACGATGCTTCTCTCGGGGTTTCCGACGGTGGCGATGCTGATGGCGGCTCTGCAGGTAAAACACTCGGTACCAGCCACCACCAGCGAGCGGGAACAGCGCAGTTGCATCCCGGTGTAGCGAGGATAACGCAGCCGTATTACAGCTCAGGTTTAACGATCAGTGTTGACGCCTTACTTAGCTACACCAGCTCAATATGACCCTAAAACTGCGTTATTCTAACATCATTTCCAACAACTATCAATGCTTTCTGTTGTATTTGCGTTTGAACGTGGGTTTTTGTGTGTTTTAGTCCTCGCATCCTCTTCGGGAGCTTGCGTCTCGCCTCTTTACGCACTGCTCACGCTGCTCTCCGCTGCACAGTTGACGGGCCGGTGTGCGAGCTCAGGCTTAGCCCAGGCTCGGTGCACCCAGCCCGGGCACGTTCGGCGCTCTGACCCGGTGATAGGGGAAACACAGAGCGGGCTTTGTAGCGGTCCGAAAGATGGCAGAGGGGTTTGTCTGCCCGGAGACGTGTCTGGTGAGCGTTTAGTGCGCCCGTGCGTGAGGTGGCGAGAACGTGCGCGAGGCTGTGATGGTGCCACCTGACTATAGGGCAACTGTGAATGTGACGGTGCCACCTGACTGACTATAGGGCAACTGTGGCACCGACTATGCGCTGGAGTCATGGTGGGTTACGGCGGGACGTGGGATTTTACGCAAAGTGACAACAGAATGATTTCATGTTGTAAGAATTCGTACAGTAACAAAGACCAAGACGACAAAGAGACGGTTTGATTTGCAGGCATGTCCATCAAATAAGTGCCCTATATACAATGCAAATAACCCACAATTTTAAAAAAAGGATTAATCGATAAATCATAGTTGACTATAACCTAAAAAATAATCATAGTTTTATTTTGATCTTAAGCATTATCTGGACTCCAAAGCTACAGAAAAATAACCTACTTTTTAAAAATAACATAAGTCAGTCGCATTTTTAAATAAAAATGTAAAAAGAAAGAAACAATAGGCTAAATTTTAAACGGCAGATTTTGATCGATTTGTGAATATTAACAACTTAGAAGCTTTCAGCGACCAAATTTTAACCTTTCATTTTGTCTATTTTTTTCGCGTGGTAAAAAATACAGAATAAGGTGCTTTCGACAATAAAATGTGAACGATGGTAGCCAAAAATCTCAAATGGATCTAATAAAACGGTGGAGAATTCAAATTTGTTGCTCGTGAGAGATGGTAAGACACAGAAATACAGAAAATTTGGTTTTGTGGTTGATTATAGAGATCGATATGGGTGTTTTGTTTGTTTTTTTCATAGTGTTAGTACTGATTATTTAGAATAGAGACAAACCGATGTTTTTGTGAGCCAATACGTAGGACTGATTTTGATTATTTTCCCCAAATGACATTATTTAAACTCAAAGGTGCACTGTGCAACTTGTCTGGTGGAGGGTCTGTCACCTGCTTGTCTCTGGGAAATGCTCCACAGCATGGCCATAAACTTAAGAATCTCCATGGAGACTTGCAAGCCAAATTGCCGGTTAGATTTTGTGGAGAAGCGACCCCACTCACTGTAAAAATTCATGTATTTTAAGATATTTTTGAGCACTAAATAGCACGTTTTTAAGGAGCAGATCGACCAAAACAAAATATCGGTCTATGCTGGAGTTTTAAGCCCGATATTCAATGTGCTAAAAAGTCCAAATATCGACACATAGGTCTATCTCTAGTTGATTACGTAGGTCTATTTTAAAGTCTCAGTGCAAGAGAATTCATTGTTGGGCTTGTTTTGTCTAATCTGCAAATGAAACGCTGCTGCTGTATTGGTATCATTAGAACGTGTACGCATGGGTAACTTGGGGATACGCAGCTATAACGGCGCTGAACCTGACTGAAAATTGGATCTAGTGTGCATTATGTGGTCCAAGTATTCAGCCTCTCTGTTAGAAACCCCGAGGCATCCCAAAACAGAACGCTCTCTGTCTATAAAACGCATTAGTGAATAATGTATGTACCACAGGAAGAAATGCGCAAAAGGGTTACATTTTTGCACACATAAATCATGCTTTGTTGTAGAAGTGGGAGATTTCGGAAAACGTGTAATATCGCAGTTGTTGTTCTGGAGATTCTGGCTGAGAACTGGGTCCCACATGGTTCACGATACGATATTATCATGATGTGGCGATACGTGCAATAATTGATCAATTTTAATCATCAAAACAGTGAATCACATAAACAAAAAGTGTAGTGTGGTCACAAAAGAATGCTAAAAGATACCAAAAAAAAGTCTCTTGCCGATATATCGATCCAGCAGCCCAAGATAATGATACTGCAGAGGTGGAACCAAGTCTTTGTTTTGCAAGTCTCAAGTACGTCCCAAGTCTTTGACCTCAAGTCCAAGTCGAGTCTTGAGTCGGGTCTCGTGTCACTGGCCCATAAGTCCAAGTCAAGTCCAAGTCAAGTCCAAGTCAAGTCCAAGTCAAGTCCAAGTCAAGTCCAAGTCGTCTGCTTTGAGCGTTCAAGTCATTTCAAGTCTTTAAACCAAAGTACCAAATATAACTTTGATTTTTGCAATTTATGATTTTAAAGATAGATTGTACTTATAAAGTCATAGTATATTTGTATATGAGTATTTATAGAGTATGTAAGAACTGTAGAAATTATTTTGTTAATTTTTCTTTTTTAAATGTCTGGACAAGATCTTAGTGTGAATCATTACGGTCAGAATAGAAAGAATTCAGATTTAAAAGTGCTTCTCAAGTTTTCTCAAGTCACTGGTCTCAAGTCCAAGTCGAGTCCCAAGTCTTAGTCCATTTTATCAAGTCAAGTCTCAAGTCCTACAAATAGTGACTCAAGTCTGACTCGAGTCCAAGTCACGACTTACAAGTCCCCACCTCTGCGATACTGTATCACCACATTTAGTATCTTGATATATTGATATTTTTGTGATTTTTCACATATTGAGGGACCGATGGTGCCGATTGGCATGGCAGCCGCGCTTCTGCCAGACTGCCCCAGGGCAGCTGTGGCTACAGTAGTAGCTTACCATCACCAGGTATAGAGTGAATGAATAATGCTGAATAAAGCTCTGTAAAGTGACTTTGTGACAAAATGTCTGTGAAAAGTGCTAAATAAATAAAGACTTACTTACCCCTACGTTAGATAATATGCAGAATTATAGTATCAAGTATATGGGTCTCAGTGGATCAGATTTGTTTTTGAACTAATGAGAGAGTAGAAGAGCAAACAAGAAGCAAATTATTTTATACCCCAAATAAGCACATTTAGTTCATATTTTTACAAAAGTGAAAAGTTAATTCATGATCTTTACTTCAACTTAAAGAGCCCATATTATACTATTTTCTGGTCTATGTTATAATGTTGTTTCCTCATCACAAACATCTGGAGTTGTGTTTTGTTTCATTCTCACATGTTTAACGCACAAGCCCAATGCATTTAGGCTGAGTTCAAGGTTCAAGGTTCAAGGTTCAAGGTTGTTTATTTGTCATTCATATGAGAGAAACACATGACAAAACGAAATGTGCCCCCCGAGGCCCAGTAATCCAGAGAGAAATATAAACAATAATAAATAAGCAATATATTAAAAAGAAGTAAGTGCATCAGAACAACATTTAGCAGTTCCAATAAACAAGTAGAAGTAAAAGGTGTGGCAAGATAATCTTCTCTCAGACTGAAAACATTGTTCCACCTTGTGATTGCTTGCTTGCTCCACTGTGTTTTTAAACTCCGTACACCTTCACTAGGATCATGTGGGTTATTTCAGCTCCAGAATTGCCCATTTCTTCTGAACTAAAGGTCAAAATTTTGCTGTTAATGTGAAAACTACCACTACATGACATCACAAGGTGTACCAGAGCATTTTGAGCTTTGGAAATTAGGCAAACGAACAATAAGGGTTGCTCAAAAACACAAGTCCGTGTTTGTTTTTGAGGAGGTAACAGCATTCTAACATGACTTAAAGCTCATAAGAATCAATTTTACGTAATATTGAACCTTTAATTAGCCTAACCTCAACTTCAGGATTTATTTATTCTCATTATTTAGCCTGTGTTTTAGGTTGAAAACACATAATTTATTCACATGGGAGAAAAATTTCACCTTTAAAAATGAATAAAACATCATTATTGTTCTGCTTTAGACTAAACCTGGTGTTTTGTCTGCTTTTAAAAAATAGTCCCATCTGTGGAGAGAAATGCGTAGAGCTAATGTATGCACCCCAGGCTTGAATCTAAATGCAGTGCCAGAGACATGATCCAAACCAGGTCTGAATCAATACAGAGGCTCGCAGTGCCAAAGGGGTCAGAGGTCGCCTCCCAAAATGAAGCTATTCATTGGAAACAGCAGCATCAGCACCGAGCTCGAGTCAATGCCTTAAAGACGTGCAAGGCTCTCTCCGTAATTTTTCTCATTTCTAAATAAGGCTGAACACTGTGATTATGATTGGATTTGCGACTTATGTTTTAATTAATTGTTGGATTCTGTTCAAAGTTCAAAGTTGGATTCTGTTCAAGCTGCATATTTTAACCATGTCTAGAAGCATTCGCATCTGATTCATATAAGAATCACGTCTACTTTTGCATGTTTTATGTTTGCATAGGTCTAAACTAAGGACACAGCTTTTTCAATTCCGATACCGATGTTGATACTTTGGCTTTAAGTATCTCCCGCTACTCGATATCAACTGATACCAGGGCAGTTATTTCCTTTAAAGGGCCCATCTCATGCAAAATAACTCTTTTCACATTGTATCTTCTGCACATAAACAAGCACAATTTGGGTTTTGGAACATCCATTACACAATAGTTTCACAATCTTACTGATTTCTTGGAGGCAGTCACAGAACAGGGACTATTAAAGGCCGGCTATTGCTCATCCCCCCGCCCGTCCTGAGAAAGCACAGGCTCCGCCCTCTAAACGTGACGTAGGCTCTGAGTGAGCCGCCCTTCCTCCGCCCATCTCAGGGAGGGAGGGGGAGACAGGCGTGCACCCTGATAGTGGTAGGAATAAACTTTTATTCATCATGGTGATACAACGCGTTC